GCAACCTGTTTGAAGGGTTCTACTTCTGGGGCATTTACTTTGCTTGACCAAAAAGATAGAAATTGGTTTGCGTTGTATCCACAGTGCAAGGGCAAGACCAAAAGAGAGTACAGGGGTATTGAACCGTTACCGCATGGAAGACAGGTGAGGGCCAGTCGATAGTAACTTCTACTGCTGTGGTAAGCGTAAATCCCCATCCAATCACACCAACGTCCCCCTTCGTTCAGGTTTGGTTACATGCACCTATATAGAATGCTAGGAGACTCCCTGGTCGTCGTAACTAGTATTACACTTCTGTATCTTCTACACTATCTCAGATCACAGTTTACGCGTTGCTTCGCTTGTAGTGCAACAGCTGTGTTGATACGAAGAACACTCCCATTCGAAATAATCTGGATTTATCGATGTCCGGTGTCGTTTTTATAACATCGTTTAGAGGCTTTCACATATGACGCTTGACGAGAAAGTCCAGACACATCGCCATTGGAGAACTGCTGGTTAGCCAACCTCCGCAGAACAGTCAAACTCAGATATTCGCTTCGCAGAACATTTCGTGAGCTTGATATGAATATATTTGTCTTTATAGTGAAGGTCTACTATGCGAACTTGCAATTTTATGATAATGTAATCCCCAAACAAAGCAATAATTCACTACAGCATTCTATCATAGGCCTCCTTCTCTTCCGCCTTCTTATACAGCATATCAAACGCATCGTCTCCCATCTCCAGCACCAGTCTCCCAAACCAACTGTTCCCTCGTTGTTTCAACAAATCCAGCGGCTTGCCAAACTCTACACACCTTCCCGCATCCAAAACCATCAACTCATCAAAATCTATAATGGTTCCAATACGATGTGCAATGGTTATTACCGTACTTGACGAAAACATTCCTCCTTTACGTCGTATAGCACTCTGAATTAAATTATCTGTGAAGCTGTCAATATTGGAGCTGGCTTCATCCATGACGATTATTTTGCTGTTTCGTAGTATGGCTCGGGCGAGTGCTATGAGTTGACGTTCACCGACACTAAAGTTGGATCCGTTTTCAGATACTGGTTCATCTAGTTTACCAGGCAGATTTCGTATCATCTTCCCTAGTTCTACTGCATCAAGAACTTCCCATAATCTGGCATCGTCGTATTGATGGAAGGGATCGAGATTGAAGCGCAAATCGCCCTTGAAACAAAATGGTTCTTGGGGTATGATTGAGATACGACTACGAATGTCTTCCAGTGACATGTCAGTAACAGATAGTCCATCAATTATAACTGACCCAGGATTGGGCTCCACCAATCGGAATAACGCTTGCAACATTGATGACTTTCCAGCACCCTAATTTAATACATAGCACGCGTCAATGACGAATAATTTGCTTGAGCAAGAACAAGGGACACTTTACATACAGTTCTTCCAACAATCCCCACTTTAGAACCAGGTTTGATATCGACAGATATTCCTTTCAGCACTTCGTTATCAGTTTGTGGGTATGTCAGACGCAAGTCCTTGAGCACTATATGACCAGATTGAGGCCATTCCTTCGAAGGTTTGAGGTCATCAGGACCGGGTTGTGCTTCAGATGGGATTTCAGTGAATTCTAGTATACGTTCAACACTCGTCATGAGTGTTTCAGTTTCAGCCTTCTGACGGAAGCACCATTGAGCGAGCCCCATCTGAGAAAAAGAAGCTTTGTGAGATCCAGTTGAATAAGCGAAAAATAGTGTTTTTACAGAAAATTGCCAAACACTCAACAAAAAAAGAAACAACTCAAAATGCTTAATTTCGCTCACCAATTGCAAACTATAACTCAGCATCAACCCGATCAATCCCGGTGACAGATTTAAAGATTGCTTTAACGAAACTGCCACAAACGACACAATGACCAAAAACTAGACCAAACGCAGTTTTAAATTAGGATGCGGCCTTGGCAAAAAAACCCAAAGATGACATGGTACTAAGGTTTCTTTACCATTGCAGACATGGTATCAATTCTAAATCCAAACCATCTAGCTCCCGTCAAGAATGTCAACCACATGCGAGTGTTGTTATTCTGAATGTCCATAAATCGAGCAAGGAATTGGTCTGTTGCTCCAAGAGCCCGCAGCACCGGTAATCCTTAATTGAGAAAAAATTGTGTTTCATTGCTGTATTCCAGAGTGACCAAAACAAAGAACATGCACATACCTTCTAACGTCGACGGAATACTAGAGTACACCGGACTTCTAGAAATACTTTCTAACCTTTTTACAGGGCGAGATGCAGCCAAGTACCAACGAGATAAATAGACGAAGGAAATAATCAGAGGAGGAATAACGATTAATATATAGGGTATAATTGCGACCTAATATTTCGAAAACATGATCAGTTGGTCTGTTTCACACAGACACAGTATCATGGCGAACGGAAGCTTACAGAGAGTGACAGAACTCCTGCCAGGATGAAGGCACTTTGAACGAAATCAAAAAAGGTCTGAGGCAATTGTTCATCCGCCAGTCCCATATCCTAGCGAACTCAGTTAGGGAAAAAAGGAGGCTGAAGCGTGCAGAAATAGAACATACCTTTGCGAATCGATTCATGACTCTGCCAAGAGGATTCAGTTGATAAAACGATACTGGAGCCTTCAATGACTTGTTGAGCATTGTCTTGAAGATGGATCGAGTCGACCTCAGCGACACGGTGAAGAAAGCAATTGCTCTGGCATTCGAGAGAATGATTTGGAGTAGAACGAGCCCTGCATATACGCTAGGCAGTACTGGGCTTCTTTGATTTGCAGCAGACTGTTGTACCCATCTTGACAACCTAAGGACAAAGCAGAGAGATCAACGAAACGCTCCACCTCAAACTTTTAAACAACGTACCACCAGTCGGTCATGACCTGAGCTACTTCACCAACAATAAGAGACAGGAAAAGTAATATTCCTATGTCGATGAGAATCAAGTTAGGCAATGCGAAAATTGGCCAATCAATACGTCTGACCGATGATTATACCTGTAAAGACGCCAGCTCCAGCTCTGAAATACTGATAATAAGTGCTCCACGAGACGTTACCACTAGCAGCTTTCTCTTGACTCATTTCTTGACCAAAAGTATTGCCACCAGATTGTGGCGCAACGACCAATTTCCTTCGTACATCATCATCCAATTTTACAGCTGGAGTAGCAGCCTTCCGTATTATTGGTTTCTTCGTGTTCTCGGCTGTATCGACATCAGTATTATCTGAATCATCTACATTATCATCTACAGCGTCTTCGACATGCTCATATTCTCGAAGGGCGTCAGCAAATTTGCCTTTTCCATCAGTGCAGACTTTCTGAAAGCTGCCCTGATCGACAATCTTGCCACCTTCCATGATCAGTACATGATCACAGTGCTGAATGTATTGCAATTGGTGGGTCACGATGAATACGGTTTTAGATTTGAGGAAGGTTTTGATCCCGTCTTCAAATAATCTTCTTCCAACACGGACGTCGAGAGCCTCCAATACCGAGTCCAGAAAGTAGATGTCAGCGTCACCATATACAGCTCTAGCACAGCCAACTCTGGCGCGCTGGCCACCTGACAATGTGACTCCCCGTTCACCAATAATCGTATCAGCACCATTAGCAAACAATTCAATATCTCTAGACATGCCGCAAGCATGAATAACCTCCCAAAAGCGTTCTTCATTCCAATCTCGTCCAAAAACCTATCGACGTGGTCAAAGGCTTGTGACAATGCGAAAAATGGCAATGATTGGGCTTACGATGTTGTCCTTTATCGATCCGGTTATAATCCAAGGTGTTTGAGAACTATATCCAATTTTTCGACTGCGTAGACCTACACGACCTTCCAGAATCTCCATTTCTCCCAAAATACATGATATTAGCGAAGATTTACCAGATCCCACCGATCCACAAACGGCGACGAGCGACCCGCGTTCGATACTGAAGGTCATGTTTTGTAATGTGACTGGCCGAGTAACGTCTTCCACAACTTTGATGTCAGAGCCAGCTGTCGTTGCAGGATTACCCCATGCAAATGAGGCATTGTCTGCTGCAACGTCAATGATGGCAGGTTTGAACGAGTCCAAGAATTGTTGGCTCTCAGGAGTCAACGCTGTTGATGCAATGTCAGGTAGCAGCAAGAACTGCAGCAGTGACAGAGAAGGGAATAGTTAGGAAGACATACGTGGCGACCTCACAACGACGAGAACCTGACAATGCCAAATGCAAAAACCCAGGAAATCAAAGACTCACGGATCGAATTCTTCTCATTGACACCATAGACTCTGATATAAATTGCACAGCTTTCGGAAAGAAGTTGAATATGGTGGCTCTGAGAATGTTAAACAATGCGATGGTAGTGAAGATCTAGAGAGAACCGTGCGTTGATATCCAACTTGGAAGAACCGTGAATCTTTCGGCGAATAGGTTACCTTGGAAGCAGTGAATGTTTCACCAAAAAGCCAGAGAGACGTCCATGCGAAGACTCCAATGATTGCACCGACACAAAAGTACAGTGCTTCATTCTATAGTTGTCAAGGCCTTAGTTTTTGTTCATAATCCGGCTAAGTGCAAATGTACCCACGATTGCTCTCATGATGTTTGCACGTTGAATGAAACTGGTCTCTTCGTCCCTCATATTATTCACTCTTTCTTCAAAACTTTTCTCCCAAGCGTATAGTTTGACCTGACAGTTCAATGCATTGTTAACCGTGATTTTTCCAATTCAATTATGTAGAAATGCGCAAGAACAACATACGATTTGAATGCCTGATATCATGTCGGATATGGTTCGAATCCTTTCATCTCTCCACTTTACGGTTTCTAAACGACAATTAAGTTAGACAACATACTCTCGCACAACGCAAGTCCAAAATCGTACCTTTACGTAACCTTCCAAAAGTAGCACCAAAGAAACCTTGAACCGGCATAAAAGCAAAGATGACGATCAAGCCAATAAAAGCACTATATGATATCTCTCTCCATGCAAAGTAAAGCACCAAAATGGCTTGTATTGGACCGACCCATATGAAATGTGCAAAGGGAGCTGCATCCTCAAATCGTTGCACGTCATTTGATACGAGATTTACTATGAGCCCTGACGTGGCATAGTTTTGATATAAACGGAGACATTTGGCGTATATTACTGCTATCATGCCCACTCGAGTCTGCATGCCCGCCCGCATAGTAAGAAAGAATTCAATATGGTGCAGCATACCGTGGGTGATGACACAAAGAGATAAACCCATGGCAGCAAGATAACCATCTTTCGTGAGAGAATGTTAAAAGATGGAAAATAATACTCTCGATTAATATTCGATCTGAGCTTTACCTGACGAAGGTGCAGTAGGTGTTTGAAAGTATATCAAGATTTGTCCCAACATGATAGCTTCACCAATCTGTAATAACATTAAATGTAAGCACCATATAAAGCATATACCTACCAACTAAATGCTTCGTACCTGCACGCAAGCCTCTGCGACAAAAGCTAAACCGCCCAACATGAAGCCAAAGCCGAACGCATGAAAAGCCGCCTTCCATATGTTGGCATCTTTAGGTCCATGCTTGTCTAGCTCGTATTTCCAAGCTCTGGTAAAGGCGGCCACAAGCTTTGTTGAATCATCTGGTGGACTATAATGGGAAAAGCCTGTGAGTCTCTTTCGGGTTTCAAGTAGCTACTGAACCGAGCGATGCTCACTCTATAGCTGGCAGATCCTCAGCAACCAAATCCCTCTTCAGCCCTCTTCGAACCAGCTCGTTCATAAAACTGAAGGTCCATCGGTAAAAGAAGTTATAATGACTCCAAGAAGGAATAGCTACATCGTGAGGAGCAGCCATTGCCGGTTCCTGGAAAGGAAAGACGTTAGAGTGTTGAGCTCGAGACAGGGCAAGCGTCAGGAGCAACTCGAGCAACGACAAAAGACGTTCTCAACAGTTCAAAGTCGTCATCAAAACGAGTTCGAAGAAAAAACGAAAAGATAAAGCATGTGTAAAGGCTTAACATGGGGAATACTTACAGCGATCGTCGTGAATTCGATGTGACGGCCATTAGGGGACGTGTCACCATTCATGACGTTCTTTTTCTGCGGAGCTTCACCAGCCTTCAAGTCTGTCAGATCCTGACCTTCCTCCATAGATCTGATGTCATCTTGGCCCACTTGGATGCTGTTGTTGCCTTGATCAGGAATTCGTGGAGCGTCATCTGCATTACCCGAATTGAGGACTTGGAGTGAAACTGCTCCACTCCCCACCAGAGCATCGACCACGGATCTATTACTCATGTCCTCCCAAGATTGATCCTGATTTGCCACTCCCTTCCTACTCCTATATTCGAATTTTTTTTTAGTCAGTTGGAAAGTTTGAAACGATGCTTCTGGCTTTGACTTCAAGTTTGTCCAGTCGTCGTATAGAGTGCGCTCATATCAATCATATCATCATTCAAATCACGTAAATTCGATGCTTGATCGCCCAGAGAACTACCAGTTTGAACCAAGAAACAAGCAAGTCGAAACTTTGCACGCTGAGCACTTTCACTCCATTGTTAACCGCAAGCGTGTATTCGCTGACAACATGATCAATAATTTGAATATGAACGAGATCTGATTAGGGACTTTGGTTTGTTTCGATCTTGTATCAAAACATGCATCGCATTATGTGTTCGCGAGTTTCTTTGTGGTAAAAGATGCTTCATCGACAAACAGACGACATTGTTTCCTTAAATATTTACGCGTAAAATGCGGTCCTCTACCGGCAGATTCTCTGTCTCTGTCTAAATCTGTCGACTGTCTACATGTCCCAAATTTTTCCACTTCTCAAAATCAGTAAAAAGCAATTTGCTGGCTGCTTGGTAAGAGACAAGCTTCAAAGAGAGAACTCTATCGTATTGATGACCATCTAACTGATTCCTCTTATTACTCTAGCAACGAAAGATGTGGGCTCGAACCAGCAGAACAGTCTCTCTTTTGGGTCACTCCCAATTGAGACAAGCAAGCACCAATACTGCCCAACAAGCTGGTGCATTTGGCAACAATAGACGAGAAGTCATCACTTGGGCTGCAAAGACTGCTGTAGGATGCACTATTGCCGGGTTGGCACTATCCGCTACCGTCCTAAATGACGATAATATGGCACCTGTATACGAAAAGATGGAAGCAATGAGAAAAAGCATCAAATCTCTCGCAAAGGACTATGGAACTGGCTTACGTATTCCTCTCACTGAAGCCCATGCCTTCTCCCTCCCTGACCATGGTTTGCATCCTCCTCACTACCCTTGGGACCATCACGCTTGGTGGAAATCTTACGACCATGCTTCGTAAGTATATCTGTTATTTAACCATAATTTAGGATGCAATTGTTGTTATCATGATGATTTTGTGTCGCAATGAACTTGTGCGTGTTTTCCTTGTACTTACGCACTTGCTGCCACCTAGACTACGACGTGGATACCAAGTGTATCGCGACGTATGTGCTGCTTGTCACTCTTTGGAACGTGTAGCATGGCGAAATCTGATTGGTGTGACACACACTGAAGCTGAAATCAAGGCCATGTCTGCTGAATACGAATATGCTGATGGACCAAACGATGCTGGTGAAATGTTTATGCGACCAGGCAAAGTATGTGTTATAGTCAGAATTTGAAATAGCAATGCAGGCCGTATCGGTAGCAAGTCGAACACGCGGTTTCATTGGAGCAAAAGCACTCTCATTACAAAAACCAGTCTCATTTTCGTTTTTTTACGCTGTAGCCATCAGATTATATGCCCAAGCCATATCCTAATGAAGAAGCTGCTCGAGCTGCTAATGCTGGTGCTTACCCTCCAGACTTGAGTTGTATTGTTCGTGCTCGTCACGGTGAAGAGGTGAGACACACAATTCCCTTCGAGAACTCGACGTACGAAAATATCAAAACGCGTATCAATTGATTAGGACTACATTATGGCCTTGCTATTGGGATACTACGATGCTCCAGCTGGTTTCAAAATGGCTGAGGGAAAACACTACAACCCATACTTCCCTGGAGGTTCCATATCCATGGCCCGTGCTCTATACGACGAAGTAGTAGATTACTCTGATGGCACTACCAACACTGCATCTCAACTAGCTAAAGATGTCGCGACCTTCTTGTCTTGGACTTCATACCCTGAACACGACGACAGAAAAAAGATGGGATTGAAGACTTTGGCCATTTCTGCTGCTCTAATGGGATTGAGTGTCTGGTGGAAGAGATTCAAATGGTCTTACATAAAGTCGAGGAAGATTGTATACCGACCATCAAAGTCTATTGAGGTTTAAACGAGGAAGTTGGGTTGAATCGGTAGTATTAAAATTGAAAAATCAGCAAGGCAGAGATCAAACTAGTCGTTATTCCCTATTACACGTTTCCAACACTTCAAAATAAACTGAAATTAGAAAGCAATTTTTGAAGGAATATAAGTGAACCAAGTAACATTAGAACGAGGCGAACGAACCGATGTCCTTTGCCGGAACTTGATCAACTATGAATTTCGACCATCCCTATTCTGAGTAGCTGAAATGTCCTTCCAGATCAACGTCTTAACAAGCTTCGTTGAAGAATAACTTAGCTTTGTTAAGACGTTACAAAAGTGAGCTTGAGAAGCTTTAGGATGTAGGACAATTCATGGAGCCATCGTTTTCTGCTTAGAGGCGGACGTCTCTTTCGTGAAGGGACCCTGCACTGTGAGGTCTTAGTGAAAGAATTCTTGCCGATTCGGCGGGTGCGTAGGACGGGTTGTTAAACTTGGCTACTGCTTTTAACTTCTGGCTGAAAGATCAAAGAGCTATAGTCTTTTACTTAGTGCAATCTTTCAATTTAGCGGATTTGAGCTCGCCTTTTGAGGCGAGAAAGGATAAAAAATGAACGCTGATCTTTCTACTCGCTTAAGCCTCTTAGCAGCGCACCTAAACAGGTGGCGAACGGATGGGAAGACGCCTTCCCCGTCTCGCAGCAGGAGTTGGCTGTCATGTCGTAGAGCTAGAAGATAGTGCCCCCGTAGCAATCGTATTAGGTCCCTCCTGTATACTATCAACTGGGTTCAACTTATTGAAGCAACCATCCCAGCAATAGCACATCGTCGTGTTGGAATTGAACGCCGACGACGTCGATGGTTAATTATGGGTTACAAGTCTGGCTACATGGATCTGATACGGCTCTCTCTATTATCGAAACACTCCCGACTTGAGAGGAGTTGATCTGTAATGGAGCGTGCCAAGACTTCATCGGGTCAGAGCATCACAAATTCAGGTGTCCAAACAATTTTGTATATCGATCACCCACAGCTTCTTCCTCCAACCCAAGCAATACATGGCGGAACCCATCCCACCACCACCCAAGTCCATCCTTATCTGTTTTATCGATACTGCCTGAAGGCCATTCCTCGGTACGTTTGTCTGACTTCTTGCGAGGCGTCAACTGTTTTACTCACAGTTCCTTTCCAACCATAGACATTCGTTCAGCTCTTTGGTGGTGGTGAAGAAGCACTGGACGTCCAATCTACCGTCCTCGAAAGTCGACGAAGTTTGGCAAAGGGAAGCGTTATGAGTCTCATCCCCTCCAAAGTCGAATCATACCTCGGCTCGTTCCCCTTCTATCGCCCCGTCCACAAGCTACTCAAGAGCGGAGAGACGCAGTTTTTTAAACACCATGAGTGGTACGCCTTGTTGGCTCCAGATGTATTGGACTTTGTAGGATTCGTCAAGAGGGCATCAAAACTGGGTTTGCGCTTGGAGGAAGTAGGGTGCCCCAATAGGCGACGATGAAGGTGAAGAAGAGGAAGAAGAAGGAGCGGGTGAAGAGGAAGGAGACGAGGAATAATCAAACTAGGGTGGTAGTGAAGAGGAGAAATGATGATGATGAAGTAGTAACAATAGTATTAGCAAGGACTGTATGGAGCTTCGTAACATGGCAAAAATACAATGGTGGAAAGGGTTTTGTGTCGCCTCTGGCACTTACCGATGGTTTTGCACAGTGTACTCGTACAAATAACTTTCGTAAAAGTCGATACCCTTCCCCTTGCATCGCCCATGTCGTTTTCGTCACCGAATTCAATATGATTGAAAATGTTCACCGAGTTCCATGTCGATGAATAAACGGCCGAGGTCTGCGCCGGTAAGGTGGCGTGCATTCACCGTGACTCTTGACAGGCTGCACTTCTCTAAAAGGTCGTCCGTCCTCGTTCTCGACTGATCGACTAGGTGTCAAAAGTCTCTACCAAATTACAACGATTACCACGTTAATGGTGAGAGAGCGATATCGACGCTGACAAGGTATAGTACTTCGTCGTACCTCCTCAGAGGATGCACCGTTCTAAAATCCCTTCAGATCTCGTTCTCGTCTGTTTCGACGTTTTTCAAATGTTGCAAATATTTGTTGAAGAGTTCACGAGCACGTCCCTTGACGTACCTACAAAAGAGTTTCGATATCAGTATTTCACAGCAATGAAAGAGCATAATGGCATAATTAATAATATAAACACGTTCAACGTCAGACTGCCTCACTTTGTGCAGTCGAATGACACAATCACGAACGCCTATCAGCTCAAAAAGACATCCAGAACGGTACAAATATGCATTTACATCCAGTACAAATATTCAGAGCCCGTCCATCGCCCTTCCTTGAATCTGCTCGTCGAGCTTTTGACAACTCTCGACAATTCCAAAAAATTCAAGCAAATCCATCGTCTTATTTATAACTAGAGTGTCGAGCGCTTCAGTTCCTCGGTGGCCCAAGCATCCGGCATGACTATATTCAGGCCGTGCATAGTGCGTGTTATGAGCGATCGATTAACAAGGAAGCAACAGCTCTGTTGAAAATGACTGACTTTGAAAGCATACAATAACATAGGATCTTCATGAAGGAAGCGTCAAGCAAATCGTAGGCGCATCTCTCGGAACTGATAATATCGCTACCGTCAACCATACCGCTACGTAAATCACAATGCATCGCCCAGCATCAACATCAAAACGCTTAGATCTCAACAAACTGCACTTCTTTACACAGAGAACCACCGTCTTACTTCGCAGATCTATACAAGAAAAACGCACTACACGGTGCCCATGTCATAAAACTCGGTCCCAAGAATGATGATGCTGCACGAGAAGCATTACAAGCTTGGCCGAATGGGTTACAGCTCGGTGGAGGCATCACGATTGATAATGCGATGCAGTGGTTGGACTATGGTGCTGAAAAGGTATAATGCCAAGATGCATGGGACTGGTGTGTCTCTGTATTAGGCAATGCTAAGTCTGAGATCTCTTGTCTTTTTGCTGCACATGTAGGTCATCGTTACAAGCTGGCTATTCCCAGACGCAGCCTTCTCAGAGGAGCGATTACGGCAGATATCGGAAAAGATTGGAACGGAGAAGCTTGTTGTCGATGTCAGGTATTTGCTCGCCAAAAAGACGAGCCTATATTTTGAATCGATTGAGTCCTGACACTCCTCTACTACTCTAGTTGCAAGCAACGAGACAACAAGTGGATTGTTGCCATGAATAAATGGCAGACGCTGACTGATATGGATGTTAATGAGGGTACGCGAACATACCAACAATAGTTGAATCAATCGACGTTCTCAGATTTGTTATAGTACGACGTTCACAGACACTTTTTTGCCTTAGAATCATTAGGCCTCTTATCATCATACTGTAGCGAATTCCTCGTCCACGCTGCCGATGTTGAAGGCTTGCAGAGAGGAATTGATGAACAGCTTGTTGCAGGTAAAACACCAAAACTTATATATGCATGTTACGACAGAAACAACATCAGCTCATGTATTCTTTTTCTTGTCCTCTTTCGCTTCTCGCTTAAACCATAGCACTATCAAAATGGTCTCGCATACCATGCACATATGCTGGTGGTGCCAAAGATATCTCTGATATCGATTTGGTGAATATATTGTCGAATGGGAGGATTGATCTTACTTATGGAAGGTGAGTCGTTGCATCATCACAAACCGAGAAACGATTTTGCAAGGATCATTGAGACTTTATTCCGTGTCATTAGTGCACTAGACATATTTGGTGGCAAAGGAGTCACACTCTCAGAACTAGTTGCATGGAATCAAAAACATGGGCATTCACGTTGAAGATACACATTTTGACATTATTTATATACTCTTTGTTTTCTTCAAATACAAAATGATTCATCTTACACTTACCAAAAAATGAAATCGACCTTTTCAAAACATATACAATGTTTAAGTTGCCTTAGTTGCGTGCCTCCTGGCGTATGACCCATCAGGGAATACACACTCTTCCTACAAAATCAAGAGGAGAAAAAGAGGGGAACTGAGATTAGTCGCATGTAGGTCAACTTCATCTCAATCACCACTCACATCACCATCGGCAAAAATATACTTTTTAGTGCCATCCGGAAAGTGAATCTCCCGGCTATCTGGATAATGCTTCTCTACTTGTCCATTAGCAAATTCGTAGATTTGCAAGCCATCTGGATGTGTAGTATGCAGAGTTCTGGGTTCAGCATACCAATAGACAGTGTGCTTATTGGATGTGACCTAAGAAGAGCCAGAAGAGTGAGAATCATTCTTCTCCTGATCATGCCTGTGTACTCGTCTTTTGTATACCCTTTTTTGCTCATCACACTTACTCGTTTGTAATCACCATTCACAAACCGAACCACAATATTTCCGTCAGGATACATCTCCTTGGTAGTTCCATTACGATACCATACAAGTTTGACACCATTATCAAACACTCGTTCCAGTTTGCTTTCACCAACTGGTATGTCCTTGTAGGTACCTGTTACTCCCAGCTTTTCAGCTAAAGCTACTAGAGTCGAGTCTGGCTCTCCTGATACTGCTGTTATTGGTGTCACTGCTACCGGTATAGCAGACTGTTTGGGTTTAAGATGCTGCTGTTGCACTACTGCTGCTGTGGGTTTCAGACCCGTATCTGATGAACCAGAATGACGTTGATGCACTTTGACTAGTGAGGAAGTACTAGTACTTGCACCTGCTAGCCCACCCAATCCAGCCGTAGGTATATCTAATGACGACTGAGTATGTTTTATGACAAGTGGCAGAGTCGTCTCCTAATGAAAAGTGGATTTTCGTTAGAAAGGAAGCAACAAAAATCCAAAAGGTTCAAGGAATACCTTTTGTAGAACTACATGAGCTACTCGATCATGCTCAAGTACTCGTACTTCGTCTTGTAACTCCATATTACGTTTCGTCAGAGTATCGACTTGTCGTTTAAGTCTGTCTATTGTCAGCTGCAACCTTGACTCTCGTTGCTTGGCAATATTAGACATGTCGTCAATCTTCTTTTTGAGGGATTCCAACTCTTGTCGTTCTCTAACAATATATCATGTGAGTAAAATACCTGAAAATGGAATTCGAAAACTTTGAAGGTAGTCCTTTTGCGAATACCTTTTGGTTGGTACGAGGTCAGCGACTTTTCGTTGTTGATCCCATGCTATTTTCTCTCTTCTAAGATTCTTCAACTCTTGGACGCGAGTCACTCGAATCTTTTCCATCTCCTGATGCTTGTATTCGTCAAAAGCATCCTAGATTGAGAGAGAGAGAGAGGGAAAGAGAGGATACCCACTGAGATCCGGATAAATGCATGTTTTTGCCGATTTTTTTGGTCTCACCTGTTCTAGCTTGAGTTTTCTCATCAAGAACTCGACCTGTCGAACATCCTTCTCTTTTGACACTGAGCGCTTGGTCTCCTTTGAAACAGCTTCTTCAGGTCTTGTAGCTCGTTCAACAGCTGATGCTGGTGCTGGAACTACAGTGTGCATAAAACGCTTGATCAGACCAGCTAAAAAACGCAAAGATACACAACGAAAAAAGGGGTAAAGATAGAGAACCAGACTGGAAACTTACCAGACTCGACAGGTTTAACAGCTTCCACCACAGGCTTTAGGCTTGGAAAAAGACTAAACAATAGTTTTGATGGAGCAGATGGAGCTGACTGTGCTTGCACCGTAGCATCGACATGATCCTCGAGCATGCCAGTATCCTCATCGTTCTCTGAAAAGGATTTAAGAGATTCATCTGGAGAGCCTAAAGTAAGAGTGTATTCGTAAGATGAAAATCGTTTATTAGAGGAAGGGCAGTCCTGTGTCGCACCATGGTCTGTCTCTGAATATAGAATCGAGTTGTAAGCTCGAGCATGTTCTTCTTCATCATCCTCGGCACCTTCTATCCAAAGAGCGAAAACCCCACAGTAAGGTATTGTATCTGCATACGGTCAACATGGACGTGTTATACGAACTCCATCACCATGTACCTTGAATATCTTCCGGTACATCTAAATCAACATCCATCAACACCTGATCTCTTGGATCGTCTTCATCATGATCCTTCATGATTTGAGCTTCCAGCAGTTCAAAGTCCCTTAAAGAGGCAGCTTCTTCTTGAACCAGTTCTCTCCATACATTTTCATGCATGGCTCTAGCAGGAGCTAATACTCGTGCCTCGATATCTTCATCGTCGTCCTCGTCGTTAGCCACGTTGTCTGGTACATTGGCAGGCCGATGCCGTATTAATGATGATTTAGACGATAGTTTAGACTGTGGAGTGTTGTACTCCTGTTGTTGCTTGTCCTATTGAGGAAGGTAGAATGAATAGTGTGTTCCTGTTAATGTTTGATGATACATGTAGATGCACAATAGATCCGGTGATTGCAATCGTCAATAAAGTACTTGCATGAGTAAATGGCCTGTTGACAGATGTCTCCCAAGAGATGCCACTAGTTGATATCTATGGTGCGATTCAAATCAGAAAGTGATTTCGGATGTGACCATTTGACGTGTACGCAGAGTCTTACCGGTCGCTCATCAGATAACATGATGAATTTAGATCCAAAATGAATGATCCAATGGTCCAAAGGTAAGTTCTTTACGTTCTAGTCATTTAATCGTCCTTAGCGTTTTGTGTTTCAGAGGCTCAATAGGTTTGCGAAGGACGGAAATGAAATTAAAGCACGGTAGGATAGCTTCTAATATTTGAATATTTAAAATTGTGTCTTTTATAACTTGCTCTGTAATAAATCAATACAGTTATCACGTCGAAAGGCTCGCAATTCAGACCAGTGCTCCTTCGAGCGAGATGGGTTTTATACCAAATCTACTGCTTGAAACGAGCTCCTACGCGTCATAACATCTTGTAGAATATATATTTCATCGAGATCTATTCACTTTGCTGAGTGAATCATGTCCAACTTTCAATAAACCCTGGCTTTCCAAACTTTCAACGCTACACACAAGTTCATAACAAATTGGCCAACAAGAAAGCAAGTCCTTTGCATTATACAGCTGACTTGTACCGAGCTCGCCCATATTGCATGTAAGCCCCTCCAATAATCACCGTCGCTCGCTGCTTCTTGTTTTTCCAATCAAGCTTTTTTTGATTATTTCGTTTGATGGACTCCATTCTACAGCCCAATAATCTTACTTACATATCATCTCCAATCATTAGATTTGAATTTCTCAATCTACTTGCATCATCCACATCATGAATACCTTCTCCCCGTTCTCAAACTCGAGCATCTTTGACAATTTGACGACAAGCCCAACATCTGCCAGTCCAACCTCTTCGTCGTTTGGTCCATCTGTATCTCCATCAACAGGCTCTTATTTATCATCCAACAAATCAAGAACGTTGCCTCCTCCACTGAGCTACAGTGCTTTCGGATCAAACAATGCAAACAACTCGCTTCCCCCTCCATATCCCTCTCCAAACTCGGGTTCTTCGGACTTGGCTAGGAGTTTGGCTTCAGAACTCGATCGAGAGAGAAATCAGTCGGGTAGATTGGCTGCTGCTCTTGAAGCTGAACGGGAAAAGAATATGGCCCTTAGAGCTGCGATGAGGTGGGTTCAGCACTCATCGCAATCAACGAATTTTTTTTCTCTTCATGCTATAATTGTGATGATTGTTGCATCGTGTCCCTTACATTCCGAACTCTCTTTGGTATTTGTGCTTACATCATCACATTCTCTTAGGCAACAACGTAGTGATGCTGCTCAGATCAGTGAAGCATACAACTCGTATCAACATGTCGCTGATATCTTGAGACGTCGTTGTGCTACTCTGGAAAGTGAATTGGCTGCTGCGAGGGATGCTGTTCATATGGCTACTCGAGAAGCTGCTCGTGAGCAGGTACAGTACTTTTGATGCCCCTTTTTTGCCGTATTCACAGGCACTGTTTCGTATACTAAACTACAAACTGGCACTTGGTTTCTAGGAGTTACGCATACGATTCGAAACAGAACTCGACCATTGTCGACGTGCTGTCCGTGACGCCGCACAGCGAGCCATTGAAGTCTTGGTATTTGCTGCTGATGGAGATACCGAAACACAACATGTCGCCAGAGAAGTCGCTTTATGGAGATCACAAGCCCGTGACACTCGACACGGCTTGACTTCCACCTTACTCCCAGTAACTCATATCAAAACAGTATTGGGAAAACTTGAAGAGTATGCCAAACAATGGCGCAATGATAAGAATATGATTATGAGACCACAACAAATAATCAATGATGGAGGAGAAAATAGAAAACAGCAACAACAACAACAACAGCAACAGTACTTTCAACAACAACAGCACCAGCAGCAACTACAACAACAGCAGCAAGCAGAAGGACATAATGATGATGTAAATCGTGACAATAATCATATATTGACTCCAGTCACTAGTAGTGAAGATCTCACTAGCAACATGGCTACTTCGCAGAACGGCGACGTCAGTACAGCAGTGAGTGTAGATGGATCTGCTGAAGACAGTGCAGTCATATTGGACTCTCCCGAAAAGAGCTCTGGAGGCTCGTCATCATCCTCATCTGTAGTAGAAGTCACTCGACGATCCTCGTCTTCGTCATCCGTGAACGAATCCAAATTCAATAGTAAAGTCTTCTTCAACTTGGAATCTCCCACCGCGGTTACATTCGAAAGCAACGGCATGAATAACAATAGCATTAACAACTATACCAACAATAACAACAAGGGACAATCTCGAGAGTCTCGATTACCGGCTGCTGCTGTAGACCTCAATGCACCAGCTATTACTCTTGCATCCTTCTGGCCTTCTACATGGGCAGAAAAGAATAATAGTAGCAGTAGTAGCAAGTCGATTATTGATCCACCACCAGGTCTCGGTCCTCGTGTCACCACTGAACGACTGATGGACGGTAACAATGGTGGTGGTAACAGTATGGTGGATGATCGTGGGAATGATTTATCTACCTCGTCTCCCACTACAAACAAATGGACTGATATTGTAAAAGGAGAAACCATTCCCAAGGTATGAAATTTCTATCAAGTCGCTTTTTTTGCGCGATGTTTCAAGAGTCAAACGATGCCTCTTCATCTGTCCAATGACATGATACTGTGATTCGTTGCCTGACCACAACTTGGGTCTTAAATTAGGCTCGACCTCCATCTCGCATCTCTACATCGTCAAAATAAGTACAATCTCCCATATACACTAATGAACAGCACACAACAAAAATCTCTGTAAAAAGTGACACCCCTGATATGAACTGCATGCCATGTGTAATATAGAAGAAGAATTTGCTTTATGTAAAACCTACTCAACCAAACAAGTAAGAAAAACGAAATTGAAATACAAACAGCAGCCCTTTGTATCTGAAAAGAAAATATATTAGTCCATCCTCGCAATCAATAGTCAATGAATTTCCATGTCGCGTAGTTTGGAGTCTTGGATGTTTTTAGTGTCTAAAAAGAGTGATTGGCGCAGCACGCTTTTTGATTTGCACTTTCCGTGGGTTATGAACATTCGATTTCAACGTGCTTACGTGCCTCCGTGAGAGAAAACGCGAACATTTTCATCTCCAATCCATCTTCTACCTTGCAATCAAGCCACGGAAACCATTCAAATTGAAATTTTCTGTTAACACCAATTTTCAACCTTCAGCTCTACCGCCACCATAGGAAGTCACGATGCCACTAGAACCAATATCGACAGACGTAAATACGTCCAGCACGACACGTGCATCATCCCTCCCCTCACCACCAATATCATCAGCATCCTCATCACCAGCATCCCAACAATCCCAGCAATCTTCGACAGGATCACCGCAACAGTATTATTCGTCCCGATACCATATGGGCATCAACGTCGGGATGAACCTTATGAACTACCTCTCCCCGCACCACATGTCTGCATCGTCATCACCTTCATCACGAACACATCACGGAAGCACGCAAACCTTTATTCCACGTGCTATTCAGCACAGTGGGTCGCAGGGTGCTGCTGAACGAGAGAGGGACTATACCACGTTCGTTAATTCGCCATCTGGTGGTGCTCACACTACGTCGACCACGTCAGGAGGAGGAACAAGAGACACATGGCTTCCACGCACCGTAATTGAATACACGTCGTCGTCACGTACATCTGGACGTATTTCTGCACAGGATATGTACCCTGAGTCCTTCGACCCAGCAAACATACGACCACAATTTCGATCTAAAGTCGTGTGTGAATTGAAGTGTCGGTATTGCACGAGCACTGTGTGTAAACGGGGCATGAAGGCCATCTTGCTGGCTGATATGAATGTAGAGCTTTACTCTACGGATTTGCCACCTTTTGGAGTACAATTGGTTAATGAAGATTATCAGACGAGGAATTGCCATTGTCGGATTAGGGATGTCGCGTGTTTGGGATGGTAAGCTAAGAAAAACGGATCTCCGTCGAAGGCATCCATGCTTGTTGGAGATTTCTAACTGAACTGGATTGTTAGTGGTAACGTACTTGGATATCACGTAACTCAACCATGTCCTTCTTGCATGGTAAGAACTTCCTCCTTAAATACCAAAGACTATGTTAGCTAACATTCCTCTATCACTAATAGGATGCATGCAATAATGGTGAGATTGAATGAATAACGGCTAGCTTAGTTTCCTATTGGACTTTATTTGTGGGGGGTCTTGCTGACCGTCACAATTGCTGATCTTCACCGTTGCTGACCTTCATCGTTTAATAGGTCACTTCTGGATGTCAGTGTTTGGATACCATTAATTGCATTCGCCCCCATATACACTGAACTAATTTTTTTTTTTGTTTTTAAAATCCGACTCGTAGGCTTCACACCAGCGAAGGTACGTGTCTATGACTACAGAACGCTTCAAATAGGCACAATCTGACTTTATGTTCATCTATAATTAGTTGAATCTTCAGATCGTCTAACAACAGGCTCTAACGGCCTTCCAAGACCGATGTTGTGGGCACATTTGCCTGGAATAGACAAGGAGAAGATTGATGAGCCTACTGAGGTGAGATGTGAATGATGATTTATGGGTTTGAAGACGCGTCCGAAGCCAACAGATTCTGATTTTTTAGCAATACGACCGTATGTGTCGGTGAACGGTGAACCCGTGCTTCAACACAACGAGCTAACAAGTTTTCAATAATCTCTCACACGTGTACATTTTCATTGATCTTTCAAAACAAGTTTATACATTCTCAAGTTCACGAATTTTTGTAACTTGCTTTGTAATTTTGTGGTTGTTCGTCTCCGCAAAAAAAAGAACATAATTCCTCATCATCTGATGGTTCAAAGACCAGGATCAAGACCACTCACTAGCCGATACTGCTAGAGCAGTATAATACAACCTCAACATGTCACTCGAATTTATACGAGAACGAAATGTAGATGTCGTCAATGATGCCAAATCAGCTCTATTCGTGAATTTACTGATGCTTGGATTTAATCCAAACCAGCCATTCCAATCGCTGCCAGCACTGCTTAAACCACTAGATAAAGAAATGTTTTCGCGTGGAAATGGACAAGATAAGGCATTTGAATATGTAGTGGCCTTCTTGCTTGAGAGGCTTGACTCGAAATCATTTCGTGAGGTAATGTCAACGTATGGTGTTTTTTGCGTTGGCAAGCAGATGATCAGAAGCAAGGTTCTTATTTTGAAATACTATTTTGTATTCATTAGAGATTTACGTCTTGCTGGCCAATAACAAACCCGACAAACTCGAAAGAGTTCAGGAATGGTGTCTTTAAATGGCTTGAGGTGCTTAAAAAGACGAATGGAGTGTTTCCTATTGACATACAGATACGGAGATCGCAGTTTGATGAATGTCGTGGTGAAAGGTATTGGTTTGATCTGTTTGGAATCATCCAGGACATTTTTGTCTCATTATCTAATTTCTGTAGATTCGAGAGACTCCTGCTATGTCTTTCAGTATACGCTGTCAAGGCTGTTCTACTACGGGAAGGTGCTCCTCTAGATGGTGAGAATCCTTGACAAATAATAAGGTGAAAACATAATAGGCTGCATGGTTTGACTCTGTTGTACTTAGGTTCTCTGATTGACATTGATCATAATCGCCGGGATGGATTCGCTGATACTATATCACAGCTCAAGGTAGAATGACAAGAATGCTTGGCTGTGAGCTCTCTACTAGTCTTGAACCCTCACATCCTCGACTTAGATGAGAACGCAAGAGCAAATGGACATGTCCTCGAAAGATAGTGCTGAACGAGACACCATCCAAAGTGAATGGCTCGCAGATTTGAATGATGTCACAACTGAAATCAATGCTACTGATGAGGCAGTTGTAAGTGTAGTTTATTTTCCAGGATCCACAAGAAAAAAACGCTTGAGCGTATCAATGACGGATCAGCTTTTAGAGAAATCTGGGAACCACCAAGGACGATTTCGTGAATGGATGTGGCGGTGATGCTTTAGTTATCCTTGATCTTCAAGACCAGACATCATCAGACTTTCCATTAGTTGATGAACAGACACGTGGGATTATGGATCAAGTTGAGAGGTTGATGTTTCGACTCGAGGAACGAATGGAGGTTGTTCAGATGGAAGTCAATGAGATGAAGAGGTAACAACCGTTTCTGAATTTTTGCCGCATATTTTTTTGTTGGCGGTGAGAAACTCATCAGAACAAATCCGTTAGATCCTTACCGATTGAGCAACCAGAGGAGATTGATGTTTCAGCTCCTGCAACTCCAATGACATCAAGTACTCTTCTATTCAAGCCAATAGGTAGTATCATGTTGACACCAGATGCAATAACTGCAGCTCATAGTAAGACTCATGAAGTGCTTCATAAAGGTGATGAGCGTCTCCTTTTGTTGTCATTCAACGATCAAGTAACTCACAAAGTAAATGCTTCAACGAAATTAGTCATCAAGCCTGAAACAATCAGCCCAACCACTTCTTCAACTCCTCCACCACGATCACCTTCTCTGAGAATGAAGTCGATCAAGGGTTCTGCATTCAAGGCTGGTGCCAAGGACGCTCGAATGTCTTCGCTTCATGCTGATTCAAGACAGGTAAGGGTTGAGAGGCGCATAGTGGTGGGCTTCAAAAATAGATTTCAATTTCGGTTTTTTTTTTGGCTTTCTTGTAGAATTCAAAAGAGAACGTACCTCCAAAGCGGTCTTCCAAACTATCAAGAATAGAAGGTAACTCACGCCAGGCTGTTTTTCAGTCCTCACTCCTCATTTGAATTGTTTAGCATTCCATCAATACCGTCTCACATTCCCATTTCTGAATAAAAAGGCAAAACAGACACCTTTAAGAGTCCAGCTGTAATAAAGCAGCCAACGCAGTCCAGGGCGAGGCAGGAGACACCAGCTACAACTACAACCCAACATGAACAACCGTCATCACATCCATTTGGAACGTCGAGCACAGTCAATATGTCTATAGAACCGACACCAACGAGTCCTCGATATCAAAATCAAACAATCTCGTTTGCTGCCAAGATTGTTCCCAGTACGACCATTATAGATCAAACACTCCCATCAACAACATCATCACCTCATCGCAGCGCTGTCTCAACACCCGTAAAGCAAAGGTATCCATCACGTACACCATCTAAATTACGGCTTGTCACAAAGCTTGAGAGTAATTCGCCGTTTGATGATGCTTTAACTGGGATCGAGGGACTGGATTTGATCAGTGAGTGTCCCTTTTGTGTTGAATTTATGTCAGTGAGCTGATTGTCTCTCCAAAGGTGAAGAATGTGCTCCACAGTACTTGTCGGACGTATCGTCGCCATGGACTGTCAAGAAACCAAACGAGAGGTTACAACAAATGGAGGAGTTCTTGAGCAAGATCACCAGGTTTAGACAAGAGGCGTTATAGAATGGGTTTGGTGCTAAGTAACCGAGCATAAAATATAGTAAATACATTCTTCATTTGTTCTCCAATCTCCATGGGAAATGGTTCGATTTTGTTGGACTCAGACAGGCTGTTGACTGTTTCAAAATATCGTAGCCTCCAGCACTCGCACCATCATCAAATTTGTCCACTCCACCCACCTGAACGAATGATGAGGGAAAAGTTGATGAAGAGACCCCAACAAAAGCTGTGAAATACGAGAGTCAGAGCAACAGTTCCAACGCTATACGTGTTGGTATCGGGTTTGAGGATGGAGAGAGACATTGATTTCAAGCCATGACCAATCATACAGCATACAGCATCCTACAAGTTGATTGTTAGGTTGTTGACGGCAGCACAAGGATAACGTGTCCTTCGTTTGCATGTGCTTGAGTGTCAAAAAGCCCAAACTCACAAGGAAATCTTGTATAGATCAGTAGATTTCGAAGCTCCGTTTTAACAAGTAAGGACAGGTAGATCCGAGTCTTTGGGTAGTATATAGGTGGGAAGATGTAGCGCTGGGGTTGGAAAACGTGTAAGCGTCAATGATACTAATTGGTAACCCAATTTAATGATGAACTATTTACATGAGGTTTGAGCAGGTACATACTACATATAGAATCGTCCATATAGCGTGTTTCATGAGTCGAGACATATGCATTGTTATGGTGATCGCACG